CGATGTTATATTGTGGTGTGTTATGCTTCATATGTTATGTTATTTATTCTTATGTTATGGTTATGTTATGTTATGCCAAGTACTAAGCTAAACTCCCCTCCACTTAACCCATTCCAACTAATGTTATTTTAGCCCATTCAACTTACATAAACTATCCTCAATTTTATCGGTTGAATTTCAACCGCTGGGCGAACACTAGTTATAAAAAATACGCGATATGTTAATAAAACGTGCGATGCCCCGATTATACTATTTCAATCAACTTATCAAATTACGCTGAGTTTTGTTTAAACAGGTGGCAACCCCCCTCAAAAGCATTGTCGAAAAAGCCTTCACAGATATCTTTCTTTTCACATTCATATTCACTTTTTAGTTTATGGAATTAAACTTTTTTAATAGGTGGCAACTCTTTTCAAAAATTATTCTGTATATTAATCTACTTATGTTATCGACCATCTGTGTGCCAAGTTCTATCCCGTGTCATTTAAAAAATAAACAACTTTCGCATTAGCTATTAAGAAAGATAAGGGTAAAAAAACATTAAACCGAGGAATATTGCATTTGAAAATAAATTCGTTAAGTAACTTGAATAATATACTATAAGTAGTTACAATTGACATTCCAGAACACCAAAATTGCGAATGAAGATGGAACTGACATTACTTATTGGACGTTCCGATTCGAGCAAAGGTTATAGCACCAAAAATTTCATTTGGAATTTGGCATTAACACAGCTTGTAAAAAAACAGCTGATCAAAGACACCAGTAAATAAATATTGAAAAACGAGTATCAGTAAACTTACAGTAAATCAAAGGCCTTTACGCATAACTAAGACAACATTGCTACACGCTTGCTCGCCCATTTCGAGTTGGATAGTAGCTTCATACTTTAACATCTGGCTCAGCGTGTGAAAAAGAATATTTTTTTGTGATGAATATTATATATCGAGAACGAGAACGATAATAAAGAACGGTATTTTAAAACCTTTGAGGTGGAGAGTTCAGAAAAATTTAGTCTCGTTGGATAAAAAATATAACCTTAACCTTTAAAATTACATTAACTTTTTCCCCTTTTTTTGGCCGGAAAACAAAAATTTTAAAAAGTGTTGAACATAACTATATTTTTGCTGTTTTTGCGCCAGAGTATCCATTTACATAATCGAAGAAAAAAAATCTACTTAAAATTTTTTTCGAAGAGTTCGTATCACGCATTTTACTTGTTAAGGTCGATTCTAAGGTAAAGTAAATTTGCATTCAATCAGACCTTTTAAGTGGCGATCAAAAGAAAATAGTTTTATTTTTTTGACCTAAGAACAGCATACATGAACCCTTTAAAAAAATGTTGAGGTATTATTTTTCGGCAATAATAACAAAAATGTGTTTAAATTTTTTCATTGCATACTTTTTTAAGGTCAAGATAGGAAAAAAGTGTAATCACTCTATTTTTGAAGGTCATTTAAAATGTTAAGGTAATTCTTTTATCGAATTATCCATCTCAAAAGCTTTTAAATACTATTACATATGTATATTTCAAAATTTGTGCTCGTTCTCGGTATATTATATTTTGTCACAAAAAAAGATAATTTTACACACTGTGCGGCTACACGTACATAAGTGTGTACATCTTTAATATCTTTATTACGAGCATGGTTTTTTTTTTGTTTTAATTCGTGTTTAGCACGTAAGTGATGTGAATCGAAATTGCGGGGATTTTTCATGAGCGTTCAATAAATAATTGCCGTTCAATAAAGTATTGCAGTGAGTGCAGAGAGACAAAAACGCACTCAGATTTGCACAACAATAACTCAAGCTTGTTTTAATTTTTGCTCTTAGTTTCTTTTTAGTGTATTGCTTTGATTCGAGAAACGTCGATAGAAGTTAAAAAAAAAAGATTTAGAACCGATATTGTAAATACATATCTAGATACTTTATTCCTACCGCTCGCATTGCCACCCGCTAATAAGGTGTTAATATCTTTCACCTTCTTTATAAGCACGACTGCAACTGCTACTTTCACAAATCAAGAATTAACTTACAGTTTTATTTTACATATTTAGTTATATGTGTATGTATATAAAATTGTTTGTTTTGTTGTTTGTCTTCTCAGCATTTTACGCTTCTTATTTGTCATAAACAGCTGCGTCACTTAGCTGAGCAGAACGGCTCATTCATGCCGATTTCGCTCATTCATTCATTTTTGTTTGCGGATATACAAATTTACATGTGTACATACCTACATACATTCGTGCATACTTGCATACAATCTGCTTTGGGTGACAGCTCAAGCTTGAGAGAATTGCATTCAGAAACTGGTAAGCTGACGCGGTATACGGAGGTGCGAATCTGAAATCTCGTTTGATTGAAAGATTACAAATACCAAAAGTTGAATATTGTGATGAATTAGCAAATATTAGTTATTGCGAAAAAAATATATCTATAAGAATTCAAGAAACATAATTCTTAATGCAGAGGCAGAGCACGAGCACAGTGGTTTTAGTGATTTAAATGTGTGATTGAATGTGTTCCGATGAGCATCAGTTGGCGTTTAACGTTATTAGCGATAATGTCCGTACACAATGAGACAGGTGTGTAAACGTTAAAAAGATTTTAGAACTTGCAAAAGCTAAATTCTACAGGACTACGTGCGGAATACTTTTATGTTAAAAAAAAAATATTAAATTAATAAATGTTTGGTAACTATTTAGCCGAGCTTCTTCTATAATTTGTGTTGTGCTCCAAGAGAGCAGCTGGCAGGTGAGACTGTCGGGTAGTTGCTTTTGCCGATTACATGGTTATCGACAGGGCTAAGCTTGGTGACAAATTATAAAAAAAAATAAAAATAAAAATAGAGGTGGTAACTTTCGTTAGTTATTTCTGTCTAAAAGCTATTTCAGTCCTCTTTCATTTGATACCGAATTTGTTTAGTTTGGATAAGCGGTTTCTTTGTTATCAGGAAAGAAGTTTTATATCGGACTTAAAGAATATTTTTTGTCAAGTTTGACTGTTTAAAAAACCGGTTATTTTCGGTCCCTGATTTTTAATAGCATTCTTATTTATTTTCCTAGCATTCTTATTTAACGCAGTTACCGTTCCTGGAAAAATCTTTGCATGTTTCTAGTTATATCAAAATGTACAATATAAACAAGGTCTAATTGTGCTCCTCACGGTGCTGCTACCTGACCAATTCTAATCCTTTTCCTTTTTTAAATAAATCATTTTTATACTAAAAAGTGCCCCCATTATTTCTTTGTATTCTGCGCTTTGGAGATTTTCCTTTACGTTTTATTTCCAATATTTATAAAATGTTTCTCTAGCTCAATCTTCAACCAAATCATTATTTTTTACAGCGCAATATTAGTACTACGATGGTTGATATTTATATTTCTAGCCAAACAATTGAAAACTGAACATTGTTTGTTGAAATTTTTAAGGGTTTTCAAAATATTCTCCATGATGATCAATATACTTTTACATTCGTTCCAGCATATTTGCACCAATCGACAAGAGCCTCGTTTTTGGCGTTGTTTAAATTTCGTGGGATGCCATTACGATATTACTTTAGCATTTCGCGCACAGTATTGATATTTTCTGGCACAACTGATTTTGGACGACTTTCATGGAATTCGGGAGCAAAATAATGGAAATTTTAATTTGAAATAATGGTGGAGTATTTGCCATTCAAATTTGTGTTCGGACGTTACCGAAAAAGAAGTGATTTTTAGATGATCATCAAAGTCGACAGATTTTTGCATTTTCATGAATACTTTGAAGATAAAATAATCAAATTAAGAGGTATTCCCTTAAACTCGTAAAAGCCTTATAAACGTCATAAAGCTCGTAAAGCTCGTAAAATTACGAGCCGCGTAAAAGAAATGTCAAAATTTGTATGGAGCTCTATTTACGAGCCCCTCGTAAAATTACGAGGCAAATTTAATGACATCGTAAACTTCAGTGTTGAATAAAAGGAATGAATTTCATCCACTAACTGTACTAACATGGGTTTTCAGCTAATTTTCGGCATTTCTAATCTTAATTTTTAGCCAATAGTGACAGAGACAAGATTTGCGGGCTATTAGGGAAAATACTACGAAACAAAAACTGTCTCATAAAATCCTGGTTGATACATACATACATATTTTCACGAAGCGGGCGTTTCCATAAAAGCCTCGTAAACTTACGAGTTTTACACGGTTTAAGACTTTACGAGTTTAAGGGAATCCCCTAATTATAACACCAAACTAAAGTTGGGATCAAATTAAAAAAAAATATATGTATATGTTCGTTTGGGACGTTACTCTTTATTCCGTTGAAAAGGTGTTTTTTAAAGCGATATTTTAGAATTTTATTAAAAAACATAAAGCTTAAAACTAAGGCTATGCAGAACTTTCTTTCAGGAAGTAAGAGGGGCAAATCCGATGTCACAAATAAATGTGAAAAGAAATATTAAATTTATATACATATATGTTACTATGCCGTTTTTGAAAGAAAAATGCGAGAATTTGAATTGCCTAAATTTTTTCCGTTTTTGATGGACAGGTAGCGGTAATTTCTGCATACCTAACTCGATTTTGTATTATTTTGAACTAATAAACTATTGATGTAAATAGTTACTCATTAATTTTTTTCCTTTTCTGAAACTGAAATTTCTAAAACCTTTTAGAAAAAAGTAGAATTATTTACTATTTACAACTGAACTACATTATCGCCTTTATATCGATTCTCTCATGTGCAAGAAGTACTATGCACTATGCAGCAGATAAATTATAAATATCCATGCAACTCTATCCGTAACATTATTCAAAAATAAAACACCGATATGAATAATTGAAAATTATGCAATGAATGTGTTTTCTCTCATTTATTTTGCTACACCCATAGAAAGGAAATGTGAATGGAATGCTATTCGATATCTGTCAGATGAGCTCAATAGCTCTGGGCTATAATCAGTTGCACATCCATGAGCACACACCAAAAAAATATTCGACACTAATCTGATGGTATTACATGCAAACATATGTATGTATGTATGTATGTATGTATATATGTATGCCTGTATCCCTTTTGGCGACATTAGTCGTACTGGTGCGATTTGTTGTTACTGTAACAACATAATTTAATTAAAACGATACAAATCGAATCGTATTGAATATTCAATGAAAGCCAAAAACGACCACACAAGAGAATAAAATTTCAGCGATACAAACGCGTATGGCGATGAATTTATAATGTCAGCATTGATGAATTTTAAACAGTTATAGCAATTTGTTTAGCGCGCTTTCGGGCGCACAAATCGGATAGCGTAGGTGTGGTGAGGCAGCCTGGGAGCATTGCAGAGTACGCAACATATTTTACGATGAGACTAATTTAATTGCATTTAATTAATAATGACAAATTAGACAAAAACATTATGCTAAATAATACATTTGACAGCAAACATGAAGATATGACAGCCACAAATAAAAAAAAAACTAAACAACATATTTGTATACTTTGTACATGTAAAATGTGTATGTATTAGGGCGGGTTGATTTGTATGGATGAAAAAAAAATTAAAAATCGTATAGCAAATCCACATTAAATTCTAAGAAAATTCTCTGAAGAAACCATGGGTCTAAAATCAAACCCTAATCCGCGCCTCTCGACTTGAAAATTTTTTACTTGGGTGAATATTTTTTTTTGAATGAAAACAAATTTTGAGTGTAGAAAAAATATAAAGTGCAAAAGAACTACCTTACTAAACAATTTTATTCAGAAAATTCGATTTCTTTTTGGAAAATCCAATTTTTTCTAACATTTATTTTTTTTTTGGCAAAGGCGGCCATATAAATTTTCAAGTCGAGAGGCGCGGATTAGGATTTTATTTTAGATACATGGTTTCTTCGGAGAATTTTCTTAGAATTTTATGTAGTTTACGTTTTTGCTATACGATTAAACAAAAAAAATCAACCCGCCCTAGTAGTATGTATGCATGTACTACGTACACATTTTTAAACACATGCATTTGGCTACATGAATGCACATAATAATAGCTTATACATACATATGTGCGAATTGCGCGCAGCCGTCGTTGTAGGCAGGCAATTGTGCAAACACGAAAGAGAAAAAAATTCTAAAAATTTAAACAGCAAACTGATTTGTTGGTATTTAATTCAGTAGCATTTAAATTTCAATCTCAATATTTTTTTATCGTTATTCGGGCATTTTTTTAAAGCGGATTGAATTAACTGATTCATGCCAAAATGAATTGTCAAAATTAATTAAAAGCTTATAAGCTCAACACAATGCAGGCAATAAAAAAACGTTTGTAGTTTTTCGCGGTATTTAAATATAATAATACATAAATAATAGTTCAGGCGAAAACAGCTTGATTTTTTTGCGCCTTATCATTACAAGTCTATTTCATTTAGATTTGAGTTAAATACTTGTAAAATCACAAAACATAAAAACGAAACGAAAATTTGCACATAAAAACAATATTCAATTTGCACGATTTTTTATACAACAGATATTTATATGGATTTGTTTTTACGGCCTTTTTTCAATTTTTAAGTACCTTGTACTTAGTTAAATGAAATAATTCAGTGAAAATTAGTTGATTAAGAGTGCATAGAAAACTATTTTAAAATTTTTACTAGCACATCCAATGGTCGGGGGCTTTGAGGCCAATAATTTTTTATGATTTATAGGTTTCAGCTAATTGCATTGTCAGATACATATTTCAGTGCATAAAAACAATTTTGCACTAAAATTGTCAAAACACACATCACACTCTTTTTAAATACATAAATCGTGTGACAGCTGTCGCTATAACCAAACAGACCGACCGACCGGCCGCCTCCCTCCCGCCTGCAGTTGGGAGGCACCAACCAACCGCACCGATTGCTTGCAAAATTTATTATCTCCAATTGTAAATAACTACAAAATCGAATGCCAACGCAAACAGCTCACTCATAACAGTCTTCACTTTTCTCGTCCCCTTTCAGGTTTCGGCCAGGAGATGCCCGCCACCCGCACCACCACGCACATGGTTTCGCGCGCCGACTGGGGTGCGCGCCCATCAACGCTCGTCGAACACTTCAACGGCCCAGCGCCATATGTCATCATCCATCATTCGTACATGCCAAGCGCCTGTTACACGTCCGGCGACTGCATCAAAGCGATGCGCTCCATGCAGGATTTCCATCAGCAGACGCGCGGTTGGAATGACATTGGCTATAGTTTTGCGATCGGAGGCGATGGCTTGATTTATGTGGGACGTGGTTTCAATGTGATTGGTGCGCATGCGCCCAAGTACAATGACAAGAGTGTTGGCATTGTCCTGATTGGCGATTGGCGTAGTAAGTACATACACGCATACATACATACATATGTATGTATAGTAGGATAGCCAACTAAATTCTTTTCTTTTCCGATTCATTGCAGCTGAACTGCCCCCACCACAAATGCTGGAAGCGACCAAATCGTTGATCGAATTTGGCGTAGAAAAAGGTTACATCCATCCACAATACAAGCTGCTGGGGCATAAGCAGGTGCGTGACACCGAATGTCCCGGAGCCAGACTGTTTGACGAAATTTCATCGTGGCCACATTTTGTAATCAATCCCAATGGAACGGATAATGATATATTAAAGTGAGGAGGACGTCGAACGAAAATTAGGCGCAGGGATCCGCAGCGGCTTGCACCTCTTCAAAGTTCGCTCTTAATTTTAAGTAGCAAATCTATTTTTCAAAGCATAGCAACTTTTACAAATACGACTTATAAAGCTAAATAGGCTAAAACAAATAGTAATACTTAGTAACCATAACTGTGAAGCAAAAAAATTTTATTAATTAAAATATGTCAACATTTGAGATCGACTTGTATAAGTCATACATACGTACATAGTGTGTATATTCCAACTCGCTCCAATATATGTATATTTTTAAGAGCCTATGAGGTACGCTAAACAAACCTAAAAACCTTTACATAAATAAAATATAAAAAGAAAATTAATTCGGAGCTTTGTTTTTTAGGTTCGGAAAGCTTTAATAGTTTAGAGAGAGGGCGAAAAGGAAGGCAAGGATTAAAGCTATTTATTAGAACCCCATGTATCGATTGCACTTTGACTTATTTTAAATGCAGAATACAAACTCACAAATGTTCGCTTCTTCCACACATACAACCAAAGATGTCATTTAAATGCGGCACAGAAACGCATATTGGAGATGATGCTGTTGTTTGGAAATGGTATCAGAAAATAGAATAACAAAACAAAACTTCTTTCCATTTTCGACTTTGCATGTACATACATACACATATACATAAGGGTGGTCCAAAAATGGTTAAATAAACAATTGGGTATTATTATTGGAAGTCTCCAGACGATAGCCAGAGTTTTCCGATCAAAATATATTGATTTTTAAGAAGTCTGTACCGTATCTACGAAAAGTTGTTTTATGAAATGCATGGAAAACTTTCGCGTGCTTTGAGCGACCTCTAAATATTTTTTTTTATTTCAAAATAAAAAATAGGGGCACATTTTTGCGATATAGAACAATCCTAGGGAGTGAGAGCATTGAAATTCCGACTTTACTTTTTTTTTACCACCCTAATGTAGGTGCACACTTCTACTTCAAACAAAATATGTATAAAAGAAAAAAAACTCTAAAGCTAAAAAGTGCAATGCCCCAGCACTCTCTGTTTGCTTCCAACAACACAAAAGCAGAAGTGGCTGTCATTTAGTAACTCATCAAGTCCCTATGTACCAGCGATGTCTGCGGCTGTACATAAATTCAAGAAGTCGCTAGAATATATTCCAAGAAATTTGAATATAACCAAGGAGAAAAATCTAAAATTACAGTCACACATTTGCGTTTAACATGTACACTCCTCGTATGCTTTCCTTTTGTTTATTTAATATTTATTAATTTGTAACCGACCTCCAAAAGAGGACGAGTTTATCAACTAGGGGGAATATATATATATATTTTTTTATGTGTGCAAGTTTTAAGGAGTACAAGATCCCGTTGATTTTTAACAATTTTATTTTTGTTGGCAATTTCATGCATTCTTTTCCATACAAAGTAAATATGTCCGAAAAAAAATAATTACATGGAAAAAAGCGCAGCACCGTCAAAAAAAAATTGTCAAAAATCAACGCTATTTTACAGCCACTTGAAACTTGCACTTTATTATAACAAATTTGAATGGGCAACAAAACAGAATATTTTTCTAGAAATATTATTAACCCTTCGTTGACATTTTCTTAATTTTTTATACTATATGATTTGCACGATTTTTGTTTCAGAAAAATTCTTATAAAAAAAATCATGAATATTTAACAAACAGAAGGAAAACTGTACATACTAAGGATCAAAAGGGTGCGCTATTAAAATTACTAGGTGTGTATGTATGTATGTATGAATGCACTTTATAAATGTATGTAAGTTTTGAAATTATTCGTATGCATTTGGAGTTCTTAAAAGTTTCAGTTAAAAAATATATTTTTCGCATTTTTTACTCAAAAGCGTAACCATTCTAAATGCTAAAAAGCAGAATGTCGCCTAAACTGTCGAATGTTATGGCGAAACTTTTGATGCTGCTAGACAGACACAAAATATGTGAACGCACGCATGTAAACGCACTGTGCCCGATTGCCGTTAAGTAACCACAGCGGCCATTGTGCCACATGCAAGCAAAAATACTTGAAAGTGTGTGTGCGGATTTTTTGAGACAGAAAGGTATTTTCTAAAACTTTTTCCCAGCGAAACTTTTCATACAAACACGACATTATTTTACCATGTTTTTTCATCATTATGCTACTGAAAGTTGTTAACAAAAAAGCAGCAGACAGCGACATCGCCTGTTTGTCTATGCAAAAATTATTCTATTCAGAATTTTAAGAATTCCATATTTATTTTACATTTATGTACATTTGTGCGTACATTACGAACTTTTTTCGCTATTTTTCGCTCACTCTTAATTGAGGAGTTGCATGTTTTAGTTGTCTCCACAAGTTGGTTGCCCTTCTGCTTGCTGCTTGCTCTATCTATGTTCATTGTTCACTCTTTGTTCCAGCGAAATTAAATTTTTTTTTAAGTTAGGCGCTAGCTCTTCTCAACGACATTTGAAAAAGTTTTCTCTGCTTTGCAAATAAAGCAATGAAGGTTATGAGTCGCAAGTGCCAACTGATATCTACGTACATATAAGAGCATACGTTATGGGGAAATTCTTAAAATTCTTTTAAGCGAAAGTGGAGGAGACGCCAATGGCATGATGTAGTATGTAGCTGCGAAGAAAAATTTAAGCAAGCAAGGGAAGACAATGTGAGCCAGCCAGCCAACGAGTGCGCTATGCCAGCGATGCATAATTCTATTGCATACTTTTGGGCATTCGTGAAAGAAATATGCTGCATACGTGATGCCACCTGTTGCGAATAAATAGCATAGCTAAGCTGATGCAGTTGTATGCAATTTAGCAGAGTCGAAAATAAAACAAAAATGCAACAATTCAAGCCAACCGCACTGCGAAATTAAAAAAATCCATTACATTTAAATTTGAAAACACAAAACTGGTTAGTTATTAAAAGCAAACTTTCTATGCGCTCCAATTCTAAATACACAATAATCTAAAAATAATTTTGTGAAGCGAATGCGCAGTTCCGCTGCTGCCACTGCCATTTGAATATATGCATTTTAATCCCCCCCCTCCGCCAGTCACTCAACTCAGCGAGGCCGTAAACTATGAGCATTATAGCGCAACAGCATACTTTTAATGATTCGTAAGCGGAAGCAGAACGCTTCCATTAAATCCAACTTGCCATTTCGGTGCAACCAAGTGCGAACAAACAAATGCTGGCGCGAATAGACGAGAGCGGAAGCAGCGCATGCAAGTGATGACTTTGGGGATACTCGCGAGCGCCGCTCGCACCACGGTGGTAAGTAACAACAAAATCAACTTTAAATAATCAGAAAACTATATTGTTGCCCTAAAGGCTGTTATAATTTCGTAATATTCGCTAAAGTAAGCGCCACAAAAATTGCGAAAGCAGAATGCGAGTGAAAATTTCCGGGGAAAAAAAAAAGTTGTGAATAAGTGTTAATGGAGCAACGTGCAGGCGAAAGGTGGAGGGAAGGAAGTGCGGCGCGCCAAAAAGTGCCCCACTGCATTACGAAATCCGCTGCACTTAACATTTTACGCATAACAAGCGTACCGATGATGGATGGGAGGGGGGGGCGAAGGTAGGGAGGTAGAGGGAATAGCGCATTAGCGCCACCAAATGCCAACTCTCAAGTAGAACGCGCATGGCTGAGCGAGCAACAGGGGCAAAGTGGTGCGGCGGTGGAGTAGCTG